TCCCTGGTGCTTGTCACCTTCTTGCCACTTCCACCCACTACTGGACCAATCATTTCCTTCACTTTTTTCTTGTTTTGTACATGTTGAAAGAAGCTTTTTTTGTTATTTTTGACTTTGGTCGCAAGCCTCAGTTCATTTTGAGCCTTGGCTTTCTTCACTTCGTCTTTGCAGGCTCGGGCTATTTGCTGATATTCTGACTTAGTTATGTTCCCCTCTTTCCACTTTCTATACTTGTCCTTTTTATCTTTCAATTTGTCAGAGCGTTCTTTATGCAGCCATGCTGGTTTCTTTTGAGAGCTGTTATTTTTCCTCTTTGTTGGTATTGTGCTAGACTGTGCTTTTATTATCTCATTTTTCAAAATTTCCCAAGCTTCTTGAGTTGTTTTCCCCTTGAGGATTCTCATCCATGGAATCCTTCCCAAGCCCTCTCTAAGTTTATTGAAATTAGCTCTCTTGAAGTCCAAGACTCTAGTTTGACTGTGTTCTATTGGGTGTGCTTCTATAATGTTGAATTCTAATATTGCATGATCACTTCCTCCCAGGGTTCCTATGGCTCCAACACCGTCTATCATTTCATCTCTGTTAGTGAGAATTAGATCCAAAATGGCTAATCCCCTAGTTCCATTATCTACTTTTTGGGAGACAAAGTTGTCTGCTAGGTTTGCCAGGAACCTGTTTGATCTTCCACTTGGTGCGGAGTTTGTCTCCCAGTTGATGTCAGGGTAGTTAAAGTCCCCCATTACTATTGTGATGTGCTTCCTACATACCTTAGTTAGCTGACTAGCAAAAAGTTCATCTATTTCCTCTATTTGGTTGGGTGGTCTGTAGTATACACCTATGGCAATGTCATTCCCCCCCCCCTTTTATATTGACCCAAATGCATTCAAGACAGTTTTTATCATTGTTGTACTCTATTTCTGTGAAGATGTAGTTATTTCTTATATAGAGAGCAACTCCACCTCCTCTTTTATTTGGTCTGTTTCTTTTAAATAATTTAAATCCCTCTAGCTGTGTGTTCCATGTGTGAGTTTCATCCCCCCATGTTTCCGTAATGGCAACAATATCGTATCTGCCCTCATTAACCTGAATTTCTAGTTCACCCTGTTTGCTGTTCATACTTTGTGCATTGGTGTATAAACATTTGAGTCCTTTGTGGGTGGCCCTGTGTTTCCTTTCTACATAACCTGTGTGGTGCCTGAGTTCCCCTAGTGTCTTACCACCTATTTGGTTAGTGCACTTTATATGGCACTCGCTATTAGAGGCTTCATTTTGATTGGTAGCAAGGTTGGTATTCTGGTCCACACACACATCTGTGCTACATGCACTGATAGCCCTATAGTTTTTAAATTGCCGGGGACAGGGTTGTTCCGTATCAATTAACTCCCTGTCCCCGCTGTTTAGTTTAAATTTCCCTCCAGAAAATCTGTGAATTTATAGCCGAGTAACTCAGTCCCTTTTTTTGATGGATGCAAACCATCTATTTTGTACATCTTTTGATTGGACCAGCTACTGACATCGTGACTAATATATCCAAAGCCTTCCCCTTTACACCATTCCTTTAGCCACATATTGAATTGTGCTATGCGCTGGCCTTTTCCGTTTTGCTCCTTATACACTGGTAAAACCTCTGAGAAAGTAAGCCTACAGCCTATTCTGCTAAGTTCCTTCCCCAAGCTCTGGAAATCATTCTGCACAGAGAGTACATCTTTTTGGGACAGTAATGTAAGTAGTCCTCGACTTACGATCACAATTCAGCCCAAAATTTCCATTGTTAAGCAAAATAGTTGTTAAGTGAGTTTTGCCCCATTTTACAATCTTTCTTGCCACACTTGTTAGGTGAATCACTGCAGTTGTTCAGTTAGTAACACGGTTAAGTGAATCCAGCTTCCCCATTGACTTCATGTGTCAGAAGGTCGCAAAAGAGAATCACACCACAATTGTCATAAATAGCAGCCAGTTGCCAAGCATCCAAATTTTGATCATGTGACTATGGGAATGCTGCAAAGATCATAAGCATGAAAAACAGTCTGAAATCATTTTTTTCTCTGTGCCATTATAGTTTTGAACCATAACTAAACGAATAGTTGTAAATTGAGGACTATCTGTAACACTTAAGGTGTTTTTTTTTTAAATTCATAATGAGTTTCACAAAGATTCCTTTTCTTATAAGGTGCAGCAGAGTTCGTTCAACTGCTTAAGTAAGAAGAATGAGAAAATATTAACAAAATTAATGTAGAGGAAGTCACAAAACGTATTAAAATAGTGATCACTTCAATCATCATTAACTATATTACAGGCCTATTAAATGAATGCCTTTGATATATGGATATTGATATTCTATTACTCCTACTACAATTCTTAAAAGATGAGCACCTGGGGCATATTTTTCCTGTAGTCTGAAAGAAAATGAGTTTTTCTTGAAACGGGCTGTTATTAGAAGGAAGACTGATGGGTTTTCAGCAATAATTGATAATTTATTGCACGAGGCAGTTGTCTGCAAATGTCTGAATAAGAATCTGATTTGTAATATACAAATTACCCCTTCATATTTTTTTTGTCATCTGCTTAATAGATTGTTTTGGTGCTGAACCCAGAGAATTTTGGTTTGCTCACTTATGGAATACTAACGTTTGCCTGCATCTGCTACTTAAGAGACAGCCATTCGTGTAGATCTCCTGAAGGCTAACCGTCTAATTTGTCAGGAAATCCTTAAAAGCAGAAACATTTTGCAGAATTAAATTGAAGCCTTAAAGCCCAACTGGACCGTCAGTCTTAACTGATTGAAGATAGCCTCCAAAGGCTGAAACTTTAAAGGGAGGGAAAAATTGAAATGCTTCTTCTTTCTCTCTTTTCATCTTGAGCTATGCCTGCCTTCCTTCCTTGAGGTATTTATCCATTCAACAGCACCTCCCTTTTGTCAAGGTGCCCTCCATGCCCTGAAATGGAAGTTACACATAGCACTTCTCTCTTTGAAGAAAATGAATAGTGATTTGTGAGGAGTGTTATAAGGAAAGGAAATGTTGAATACAAAAATGGCTGGAAAAAAAATGAAAGGATTAATTGCAATACCAGTTAGTTTGCTACTCAGATATACACACTGCCTTAAGATAATCTTTAATACAGTTCTTGTGAGACTAGGCTGAAGCTACCATGAGTAAAGATTAAAAAAAAAAAAGCATGTAAGCAGGCTGGAAAAAAGCTAGGAACCTTCTTTGAAAGATCCCTTCAAGAGATAGGTAAGAAGAAACCCGTCGTCAAGGAAACAAAGGGAAAAAAAAGTTACCCAAACCAGACAAAAGACATTGAGCCTGAGCACATGTGGAAACTCTCCCCAAGTCCCATCAACAGCTATCAAACTTATTCAAAAAAGCAAGAATAGCTGCCAATCTTGTGAATCAACAAAGCGAGGACTTTTGGAGACAAAAGGGGTCCTGAAGCCTGCCCAGTCTTTAAGTCTTCTTGGCAGCTTTTGTCCCTCTGACTAGTAGCTGACAGCCTAATTGAGAAGGATACTCAGTGTGCGTGTGTGTGTGTGTGTGTGTGTGTGTGTGTGTGTGTGTGTGTGAGAGAGAGAGAGAGAGAGAGAGAGCAAATGTACATTATAAGCAATAAAGTTTTGCAATTACTTTAAATCACTGGTTCTCCATGTATTCCAAAGAACTGGTTGTATCTCAGTGTTTGGTTGAAAGTGATTTGAATGTGACTATTGACCAGGGCTGTGAGTGTGTTGAGTGAATGAGAGTGCACCTGTAACATTTTATGCTGTAACATCCTTAGGAACAAAAATATACTCACTGGGCAAACATACCTAATTTCTATCACAATGTAATTCTGGATTGTCTTATGTCCCACCCTAATTACCTCTCTTTTCCGTAGTGACTACTAAGGCCTCTGCAGCTTCACCCCAGCCCTTTCGGGTCTGCGCTGTGATACGGAAGAGATAGGTGGACTCCGGTCTGAGATTGGTAGCAGTAAACTGGCGTGCGCTGGGGCTGAGGACTTCTACGTTGGCTGAATTGGCAGTTGTAGTGTTGAGGCGGTGAGTGATCTGGTATGCTGCAACAGAGTCAGAATAGCACTGGGTAAGAAAACGTTTGGCAAAAAGGGACACTACCCATACAGCTGTCTTTGGGGCAGCTGAAGAAAGAGTTCTCCCAGTGGAAGTAGATTGTAACCTTGGGAGTAATCACAAAACAAGGCCCAGCCGTTTGATATGAGTTGCCTTTTTTACCCTGCCACAATTTTTCTGTGGCCCTACTTGCTCTTCAGAAAGACGAATGAGAGAAGCTCAAGAACTTGGCTCACTCTGGACTACTGTGTCTTACCTAGAATGATACCATTGGGAGCAGAAGGAGGCTGCCAGATTAGCCGTACAGAAGTTATCCTCACTTCAGGGAAGAGAATGCCTACTGGTGGCCCAGGCACTGGAATACGTCAAGACAAAGGAAAATGGATGATTAGGTTCAGTGATTAAAGTATATGTTTATTTATCCCTTCAGGCAGTGACTGGAATGCACTTACAAACACAGATATATACAATCGATGCTACCCGACACTAAGATCAATCTTGCTTTTTAGGGGGCCACGACACAGGTTGTGGGGATGGGGAGTTGCTTATAACGCAGGATGAAGAGTTTATAATGATAGTGACAATGATCTGGATAGAAGTCTAAGCTCTCTGCCAGCAAATATTGGGTTCAAGAATCTCAAGAAGCTATGTGGGATCGAACCCAGTTAATTTTACCAGGATGTGGAATGAAGTTAATGGAGGATGTGCAGAGAGGGGAAGGAAAATTGTACTCTTCAGCAGATTACTGAGAAATGCAGGAAGGATGCAAAAGGAAGTTTATTTTATGTTTAATAATTTAGAGAAAGATCATGATTAGAACTTGAATTATTAAACATTCCAAATGAAGATGGTATTGGTGTTTGGTTGCTAATCTTTTTAAAAAGTAAGTATAGCTAAGAGACAGAGAGTTACGGGATGCCTACCATCATCCAGTGTGCGCTCAAGTATAGGCGGATTGCTGGGCACTCCATCACCAATGCGGGTGAAAGCAAGCACCCGGATCTCATAAAGGACATATTTTCCCAAGCCTATGAGCTGGGCACTCCGAGAAGCATTGCTTTCCACTAACCAGAACTGGGCCCTTGAATCTGAATCTTTCTCCTTATACATGATCTAGAAGAGAAGATGTACCAATGATTAAAATAAAGGCAAGCAGTCCCCTTTTCCCAGTTCATCAGTGCTAATCAGGAGAGTGTTATTAATTGCATTTGTTCCTGTAAATAGGATGAGACCCCTGGATAAAGATAAGGCATAACATGGATTTGAAGAAGGGGAAATGAGGAGGGGAAAGAAGCAAGGTCATTTTGTGGAAACACAATAACTGAAAGACTGAAAAAAAATGTTCACTAAGGAATCCTCTACTATGGTAGAATCTGCAGGCAGAGATTCAGGATCAAACTGGAAGAAAGACAAAGAGATTAGGTGTGGAGGAATACAATGCTTTAGGTCAGGTCTTTGCAGTATGGCACAAGAGAAAGCAAGTAGGGAAAGGACTGCCAGATCAGTAGTACTGATACTCACCTTGTAACCCAGGATAAATCCATTTCGATCAGCTTCAGGGATATCATTCCACCGCACTAGCATAGAGGTGGAAGTGGTAGCTAGTGCTGAAATATTGGTGGGTCCGAATGAAGGCACTATATATACAAAGAATACGGACAAGAATACACATTGCTACATTGTACAGAACCTCACATGTTAAATTCCAAGCAGGCAGTGATAAGCCTACCAGAATGTCTTAAACAGCTAGAATGGAAAAATATACCTGACTCCCGGGTTCGCCCCACTACAGTCTGACTCCATGGCCCTGGCCCGACAGCATTGAAGGCCTGCACCTGTATACGGTACTCAGTCCATTCCTCCAGGTCCTCAATGGTGAATTCACGCTCCACACGGTCATGGATGGTGTTGGTCAGGGTGTGGCTGCGCCCATCAAGACGTGAGTAGCGCAACCGGTAGCCCACCGACTCAGGGCTGCCATTATATTCACTCTCTGGCAGTGGCTGAGAAAAGAGATGGCCCTTTACTATTGGCCGGCATTCTGTTCTTCTCTAAAATGGTTACATGAAACAGGTAATATCTTCCCTATTCAACTGAACAGATCCTAACCCTTGTAAAACAGGTACGGGTTCAAAGCCTACCTTAGAAGCTGCAGATTTATGTACATAAGGCGAAATTTTATTATTTAAAGTTACCTTGTAACTCTCTTCAACTGAAATGATAAATATAGAAAATGGCCTTCCAGCCAATTCATTAAAAAAATAATAATCAGAAGACACGCAAAAAGAGAGAAAAACAGTTGAATTTCCTTTTTTTTTAATGTCTCATAAGGAATGCATATGGAACAACAATCAATTTGAACCATAAAGATTGGAATCAATTTGAACCCCTAAGGTTTTGAATCCTAATTGTCGTGCGTAGTAGAAAGCCATCTATCTTCTGAAGTCTTCTACCTCCAATACAGATATTACTGAAAGTTTCTGATTTGGATTTAAGAACTTCCCATATAGAAGATAGTAGCACCTGTCTGATCATATCACTCCAAGAAGAGCCAAGAAGAGTTCATCCTGGTTAGTACTTGTATTTAGATGTGAGATTTTTCTAGCTGGACTAGGAAATTCAAAAACATTTTGGCAAAAATGGATTACTAACCATTTCCATAACACTATTGATCAAGAGAACTAAATGAATATATCCATAAAGTCACCACATTAGACTTCTGACATAGTTGAAATCTTAATTTTTCTCACTGAATTTAATTTGGTAGCCTCTCAGCCTTAGATAAGGGCTGGTCTTAAAGTTCCTGTTAGGGGTGGCAAAAATTTTATGAGATGAGAAAATTATAATCTTGGCTGAGGGAAAAGGAACCATGGATAAGTGCATATGGATTGATTCAAAATAGAGCCTTATTCAGCTGGTGCCCCAGCTGAAGTCTTCCACTTCCAAAAATACCTATCATGGGAGTAAAGGAAGGACAGCCAGTAATGCCCCTTCAATTCTCATTATGACTTTGATCTGTACTTCATTTCCAACCCCTTAGTTCTTCCCTTGCTTACAGCCCCATCTTTTCATACCCCATCCCTTTCCTTCACTGTACTTCTAGACTCCTCCATGTAGCCCTAGAATGATAAATGACAGAAAGGGTGAAGTGGGTATTTCAACTGCTCAATATTTCACTGTAGTGATATCCCCAGTTTCTGATCCAGCCTCAACTAGTATTCTTAGCTTCATACGAGTCCCTCTACTAATCTTGAATTCAAATTTACTATTGAAATGAACTACTGAAGTTTGTCTCTCTCACTAGATAAATAATGGTAGGGTGGTCAGCCTGCTGGGATTTGCCCCCTTTCCTCTTCCTTGTTATCCTCTGTTTTTTTCCCCTCCAGAAACAATTATGGGGCCTTTTTAGGCTACAGTTCTCACCATCCATCGTAGCCAGAGGCTGGTTTCACTGGCTGTTCGTACTGTAATATTGGCAGGAGATACATCAGGTGGAGCTTGCAATGTCTGGATCCTGCGGGAAGACGGGCTGGGTGGACTTGTCCCCACAATGTTCACTTGTCGCATCCGGAAACTGGCACCAGAGAGGAAATGGATCAATGTTGGAAGGGATAAGAGCACAGAAAAAATCCTCCAGGATTTTGAACTTCCACATTCACATGACTTGGTGACCTTTTGCTTTGTTTCTCCCCATGGTCCAGTGGAGGAGCCATAATGTGTGATATGCGAGAACATACAAACATGTAGTGCCCTACATATTTGTGTAATGTCTCCATAAAGCCCATATCTGAAGCAAAAGATATTATGTGGGGATTGGGCTACATGTTCTAAACTGTGTGTTGAGTTTTTCAAGAAAGCCTTAATGGAGAATAGGTCTATCAACAGATGTTAGCCATGATTTTCTTATGGAACCTCCATGTTTGGTGGATCAAGGTTTGAAGATGAATTTCAGGAAGCATCAGAAAGGTTTTTGTTTTATGCCCTATTATGGAGGTTTTTTGCTCAGCTCTGACTGGGTTTTATAAAAAGATTGATTTTGATTTTTCTCTTCCTCTTTATATTCTCGTCATCACTGTCCTCATCATCATCATTACTGCTGCCTCCACTGCCACCAGCACCCCTGCCTTTCTTCAGTAACACAATACAACTTGATTGGGATCAGCATCTTTCCCTCCTCATACCATCTAGTTGTTTTTAATAATTGTATTACATTAAACTAATTAACAGAAGACAATACATACAACAATGTTAATATAACAAGGTCCTGAAAAATTAGGTTGCAAGTAGAATAATTCCCAACACTTTGACCATATTGTTTGAAACTCTTCTTCCTTAATTTGTTAGAGATAAAAATTCTAATGAAACTATGGGAAAAGAATGCATTTCAATAATATATTGCTGCAAATCATGTATTGATGTGTCAACATCAATGTGTTGATGTGTCGGGTGACAATATTTTTAGCCTTTCCTTTCTTCGCTTGACTTACCTATAATATGTGTAGGGGTTGAGATTGGGCACCTCCATGGACCGAGCATCTGGTTCATTAGAAACCTGATGGATTAGCATCCACTCTTCACTCTCTCCAGTCTGACCCATCTGAAAGCAAGCAAGGCAGAGTAAAATTGGGAAAGTACGCTATCGTCTGCTTCCCTATTGAACAGGCAAAAAATGAGTTAACTAACATGGTAACATTTGGCATTCTCAGGGAATGAAAAGCAAGACTACTTTTATCTAACAGTAAAATAAATATTTGGACAAGTTTTTTTATTAAAAATCACAATAATTTTACTTGTTGGAATAAATTACAGACCTCTCTCATTATTTGTTATTATTCTCTTATTATGTTGTTGGTCTTTAAACAGAAAGAATGCATACACATGGAATACTTTAATACATGCACACACAAAAGAACAGAACAAATCAAAGATTTTCTGCTAGAAATATTTTTAGAAGTGGCTATTTTTAGAGGTAACTGGATGAGATTCCTATATAAATATGAAATTTTGAGGCCATGTAGTATAATTATGTATCAAATACCATTCTGTCTATTGTTGCTATGATCTGCTATCTCTATTGCTAGGTATTCTAATTCCCAAATAGTATGCTTTCCCCTTTATTCTTGCCCTCAGCCACCGTGACACTTGGTCAAACTAAGTTTTCTGAAATTAAGCAGAATAAAAGAATGCAAGTTTCCCTCCTTCCCTCCCTCTCTCCTTCCCTCCCTCCTTCCCTCCCTCCTTCCTTCCCTCCCTCCTTCCCTCCCTCCCTCCCTCTCTCCTTCCCTCCCTCCCTCCCTCTGTATGCCTGAGTCTTATTTTGATTTGAGACTATAGATTTCAAGTCAAAATATTTACATGAAGTACAATGAGAGGTAAGCTTCTTTAACTTTCATACAACAACTCGATGAAGAGCTATAAAAAGGACAAAAGGTCCGCTGCTTTTTTTTTTTACCAGCAAATGAGATCTGCCTTACCTGAACCTCTACCTGCCACCTGGAAATGGAAGTCTTCCCATCATAACCAGGGCGAAACTGAAGTGTGACTGAACGGGGACCAATGTTGGAGATGCCCAAGTTAGATGGGGCCCCAGGGAGTTCTGTGAACAAGAGAAAGCAGAGAACGTGGAATGCATTAGCTCTAGCATAGACAATACCCATTGACTCAGCTATACTACATCCAGAATGAAAATAGCATCTTGCCCAATGTTCGTACCGACAATTTACTTTACTAATCATGTTTTCTCCACTCTGGTCCCTGCCAAATGGATGACTTTCTACTTCTGTCATCATTAGCCAGCGTAGTCTTTCCTATCAACCTGGCTGAGGGAAATTGAAGGCCGTTTTAAAGATACTAGGATGAGGAGGACTGAACCAATCTAAAAGATGTAACAGGAGTAAACATAACATGCAATTTGGTAAGAACTGTAAGAGGGAAGACTGGATCATACTTTTCCAAAAAGAATTTTTAATGTAAAAAGAGGACAATCAACATAGAACCAGCGAGTTACATATGCCATACACAGTAAAGTAAAGATGAAATCGCCACCAGTATCTGATAATCAGATATGGTTTTGCTTAAGTTGGCAAGGTGGGGTAGGGTAGAAAAGCAGTGTAGTTCCTGTGTAAATACCTGCCACATCTAAAAATTAACCTCTTATTACAATATTTGTTGAGGTCTTAGCTACCGAAATTAAAACAAGGCAAATTCTCAGTCTAGAGTCTGGTGAGTCAGGTGGCATGCAAATTCTTACAGTAAAATAAAAATAAATAAAATGTGAAGAGGCTATAGAACCTTGTTTCCTAAAAACCTTGGACTTCAGGGAAATCACTGCTTCACTAAAGGTGCTCTAATATGTTAGGGAAGTTGAGAAGTCATACAAATAGCTTTTGGCATATAGTCTCCATGCCCTAAAATGCACCACTTTATATAATTTCAAAGAATCTGATTACATTTGCGCTCATATTCATGGGCAACAAAACCATTTTCTAAGAATAAGTAGGTTCAAGAAGAGACAACTCTGAGCCAAGAAGCATCAGAGAAGAACCACTGATTCCTGTTAGGGAAGGAGAAAGTTTTCAAAGAGTTAAGTCAAGAAAGCAAGCAGTACAATTTCTCCAGGACTAAAAACATCCAACATTTCCCTAACAAATACTAAGAGGTTGTCATTGCCCTCATCTCTTGCTTGTGTGTTTCCACCAAGCACCTGGCTAGTCACTGCATAAAATGAGTCCAGGAGTAAATAGGCCTTTGGTCTGATCCAGCTGGAAGGATTAAGCATCCTTCTCTTCTGCCTGCAATTCCACAGAAAAGAGTGTTTATTAGAGCTGTGCAATGCTTTAGATTCAGTTTGGAAGAGATGCTTTGGAATGCATGAGAGCATGAAAGCAGCATCTGTCTACAACTTGTTAAAGCTTTTGTACCATTCTAAAATCTATGAGTTTCATGACATGCATATTGTGTGTTGTTTGTTCCCCAAACATCAAGACCTGCCAACAGCAGCAGATCATCTAAATGACCCCAACCTCAGCCCACAATCAAGAAACAGGAATAAACAACAAACAGCTTTTGGTGACTGACATGGTGGCTTATTAATGATGCATTAAGCAGGATCACTACCTACTTGGCGCAGGCTTAATATTGGCACAGGCTTCAAACAAATATCTAAAGTGATTTGAATATTCATCAGATTCAAAACTTCCATCTCATGAAGGTCACCAGGGGAGCTGACAGTGTTGTCTGTAATTTCATATTCATTACTCTGATGTTTGTTAATTTAATAATGCTGAAGCTTGAGAGAAGTTGCTTGTTGTCAGATTGTGACGGGCATGTTATGTGCCTGAATGAATGAAGCACACACACTCGAATTAATTGAATTACTGAAAAGAACAAATGTTGAAATTGAGATTGACAAAGTCAAGGTTCAGTCAGGCAAACTGAATTAAATCAGATATGTAATATTATGTAGTTCAGAAAATGCAACTTCAAGGCGGCAGAGGAAGGTAAGAAAAGGCGAGCGAGAGATTCATTCCTCATTAAGGGAAGAACATACCTTAGAACATACCTTAGACAAAATTTGTTCCTTGCTCAATTTTGTTATGCAATATAGCAGAAATATACCGAAAAAACATTGTTCCCTTATTAAGATTCATTGTAATTATTTGTAATCATGTCTTTCTTTAACATGCCTTGAAGTGGCATTTGTAGCTTTGAAGGTCCAGGATACATCAGGATTTCTATCTGCTTAGTGTTCCAAACTGATGCTCCTCAAAGGCCTGGTTAAGAGTTCAATTAGGGACATTTCCTGAAAATAGCTGAATCAGTTTTGAGCACTCATATCAGATCTGCAGGTTCACTCCCTTGGAGAAGAAGATATTAGTCTTAATAATTTTCACAGCAGGTACCAACAGCTTCTGAGACAAGACGGGTTAGCAGTTTGCAAGATGCTAGGATTTGTATCACTAGTGCACAGACCAGATATAGGCCTGCTGTTCAGAATAACTGCCAGGAATTCTTTAAAAATCCCAATTTTTTTTTGTACTAGGAAAAGTACATTTTTTTTTGTTCTTGTACTTATATGGGAAGGGGGAGGGGAAAGGGCGGGGGAAGGAGATATCTTTCCTGTTATCACCTCTTTCCTTTTCTGAAAAAGAAATCACACACCTGAACCAAGAAAAAGATAAACTTGACCATTGTCAAAATATTCCCTTTCCTCACAAACAAACATTGAAAATCTACACGGAAAATTTGGGTAACTATAGTTTTCCCTAAATGGTTAGTTTAGGTATTATCTTCTAGTGGAATTTTCCTTGTAACTTGAAATATCTGGATTGATCGGTTTCTGTCCGTGCTTATTATTGGACTTGTAATTCATTTGTATGTACATCCATCTTTTTAGTAATTTCTATCATATGTTCAATGTCAAATGCATCCATACATTGGTTGTAAACAAAGAACTGTTCCCTGTATTGTATCCTTGTAGAATTTTCAGTCTGAGCTAAAGGACAGAGACTGAGATATCCCTACTAAGCCTGGCAGTAAGATGCTAATTGCTGCAGGAAGACCAATAAATCAAGCTTACCTGGGGGAACCCCAGAAGAAATGGTAGAGGAAGACACCTGTCCTTGTCCCTTGGATGTCATGGCTGCCACTTCAATAGTGTAGGTGGTCAAAGCAGTGAGGCCAGTAACCCGATACTCCAGGGTGACATTGGGAAGGTAGTGTGTAACACGTGTGTTTGTGCGATTGTATTCTTCCCAGGAGATTCGGTAGCCTAAAAGAACCCACAATGTATATAGTCAAATAAGTTTATTACAGTCGAAGATCAGAGATCCCAATGTACATAGATACATATAGTACCATACACATCTTATATTCCTAGTCAGGATGCACTCAGAACAAACCTAAATAACTCAGTAAAACTTTTAAAAATCTACTTATTACAAGCAGGGAAAGAGGCCACATGATTTTTTCCGAGAAATAGATATCAAAATATGTATGATGAAAATTTCCTTATAGCCACTAATTTTATCCTCTAGATCCTCAGAAATATTTTTTTTATTCTATCGCATGTGTCCTTATCATTACCATGCTAAACATGGAGAGTAACCACAAAAATCAGGATCTAGCAAATGCCCTGTCTCCATGTTTCTTGGCATGGGGAAAGAAAATAAAATGGAAATCTCTTCTGTTTAACCCAAATGAAAATGTAGGTAAGGCAGCATAGTGGTTTGACTTCTACTTCAGTAATTTCAATGAACTCTGGTGCCTTGTTTTCAAGAGAAGGGTGAACAAAATGAAAACTTCTGGCAAAGGGCAATTACCTACCCAATAGTTTAGGTGTTAATGATGCAGAATTTTTCTTACAGCATTCCCTCCTGTGCAAATCCATGCAAGAAGTTAAACATCCCAGGTACAAGGGTGCTTCAGAAGCCCACAAAATTCTGGGGATAGATGGATGCCAATTCTGACTTGACATAAAAACTGTATGTGGAGGGCCCAGAGCTGAACTCTGTATAGTTTCCAATGTAACCTTTCTAACTAGTTCATTATCTTTTGCTAATGATAACCTATTCCTGCAAAATATAGTAATCACCTGGGCAGAAGGTTACCAAAACATAATTATAGGGATGTGCTATGCTGGATGTGGTTGATTGATGGAGACAAAAGTCTATTCCTGAACCATCTGTGATCTTGATTTTAACCTTTTACTTAATTGTTGCTAATCTTAATTTAATGCTTTTAATGTTTTAAACCTATGCTTTTGGTCTACCGTAAGCTGCCTAGAGTTACTCGGGTCAGTGAGATGTACGGCATATACATTTAATCAATCAATCAATCAATCAATCCTCAAGGATGAGCCTCTGGGAAGTATGTCTACTTACCTGTTAAGATGCCATTCTTTTCCAAGGGCTCTTGCCAGCTGACCTTCAAAGATGTGTCTAAGATCTCATTGAAGCTGAGATGTCCCACTGGACCGGGAACTAGTCAAACAAAGAATCCCTCAGCCAGAAAATTACAACAGAACAACCATTCTGTTAATTCTTCAAAAGGGTAAGCTATTGTCCCTGACTTTCCAGAGGAATACATTAAACCTCTTTGGGAATGGATGAAAATTTAATTGCAGTGAGCATCAGGGCCTTTAGAAAAATATTGCCGTTTTAGCAATGAAAAGCTAGACCTGGCAACTGAGGCAATAACAGATTTCTGCAATGGAAGAAGGTTTTTAACTCATGCTGCCTAGTGTGTAAGGAGAGTGTGGGCCCATAGATAATGCACATGCAGGAATCCAAGAACTGGGCCTTGCCCAGCTCCAAAGGGAAAGGCCGTACCGTCCTCATGGGTGCGCACCAGCTGTGGTGGGCTGCGAGGTCCATCGCCTGGAGTAGTGAAACACAGGACTGAAGTGAAATATTCTGTGAATTTCTTGAGACCTGAGATATAACCAACATGGATATTGTCTTGGAAGTTAGGCCGTACTGTCACCATAGTCATATCTTCTTCTTGTACCGGTTCCCAGGCAATCAGCTGAGAGAAAACGAACAAAATCATATTTTGATCAGATTAATCTCTGTATTTACCTAGAGGTAAATACATTGCATGAATGCAGGAAATGTCATTAAACCTGCCAGTGAAAAAAATTAAATTGGAAAGAAAGTTTATTTAGGAAGGGCAAACAGCGTTACGTAATTAAGTGAAAACAAACAAAAAAAGAGTAGAATTGGAACATTTCTTTCTTTCTCAGGTTTAAACAAATCTGAGATCTTATGCGAGGATGTTACTTTATTTTCTACCCAAACAGCCCACCATATAAGTTGTTCTTACAAAGTGATATACTTAGTAAAGATGATACAGGAAGGTTTGCTACAGAGGTAGGTTCTGTCAACCTTCACTGGTTTTCTCTGTCTGTCTGTCTGTCTGTCTGTCTGTCTATCCATCTTTTATTTATGTATCTTCTTTGCACTGCTATCCCAATTAGAAAATAAACAAATGGCAACATCACATCATCTCAGATGAGGGCATTCAAAGATAGCTTGGTCTTTAAGAACTTTTTTTTTTTTTTTAAAGGGGAAGCTAATCTGACTCTAAAGGGATGTTGATGCACAATGTGGCACTGTGTAGCAGAAAAACAGCCTCAGCCTTCCAAAGGTCCTGGAAGTATGGATTTGCAATAGTTTCTCCCTGTTAGATCTAATAGGCAAGTCCAAATTGTTTGGAGGAGGTATCTATATGCAAAAAAAATACATTAAGGGCTTTATAGATCAGAACTAGTATAGGTTGTCCTTGACTTACAAACATTTGTTTTAGTGACCATGCAAAGTTACAAAGGCACTGAAAAAAGTGACTTATGACTATTTTTCACACTTATGACTTGCGGCATCCCCAAGGTCATGTGATCAAAATTCGGATGCTTGGCATATTTATGGCGGCTATGGTGTCCCGGGGTCATGTGATCACCTTTTAAGATCTTCTGACAAGCAAAGTCAATGGGGAACCCAGATCCACTTAGCAACCATGTAAACTAACTTAACAACTTCAGCGATTCATTTAATGTGGGAAGAAAGGTTGTAAAACGGAGCAAAAGTCACTTAACAACTGCCTCACGTAGCAGAGGAAATTCTGGGCCCAGTTGAGATCATCAGTTGAGGACTACCTATACTTTGCAAATTTGGGTTTGTTTTTTTTCCTCTTCTAGATTGAGTAAATATTGGATACAATGGTCAGTTTATGTTTTAACTTTCAATGCAAGTTTTAACTTTCAATGCCCTTTTAATGTTCTAAACTTGTAATTGTTTTATACTGTTATTTATGGGACTGTAATCTGCTCAGAGTTGCTTGACAGTGAGATGGGAGGCATATAAATTTAATAAATAAAATAAAATAAATATTTTTTCTGGCTTATCTTCCTTGTGCACTTAAATGGAATATAGATTTGCTACATGCACACAGAATCTTTGTTATGAAGAAGAGTTTGTGTGTTTTTTTTAAAAAAGACAAAGAATCATGCTTTTTGTCTTTAAACTGTCCCCTGCAATCAGCTGTTACAACAAATGCACAAATAAAACTGTCACTGAATCTCACTCATTTGTTGTCTATGCCCAAATTCAGGGATAAAAGAGACAAAAAATTACAGAAAAGGGAGAAATAAAGTTAGAAAGAGATAATTTATTCTTCAAATAATCCAGTTTGCTATTTTGTCACTGCAACTTCAGATATAAGTGCTAATGCATTAATCTAAACAGGCTTATTACATATGCTTTTAATTAACTGTCCATGCAATCGCTGTTAGTTTCCATACACTGATGGCATTTTTGTTGTCCTGAGCCAACAATACAGCAGATCCTAGAACCTTGGAATAACTAAAATCTTGAAGTTACCTGCTTTGTGTGTAACTGCTCTGGGATATAGGCCTCATCCACACACTCTCCTTGCCCTGGCTCTGAAGTGAAAGGCTAATAATTTTTTAGGGCATATCCTTGCCATAAAACTATCATCTTGATACCGGCCTACTGCTCAGGCTTTGCAGAACCTTGAATGGCCCTGAAGAGAATATTCAGAAGCCTTTACAAAGGTAGAAGCTTTCCTTAAGCCCTAGGAAAGGAGTTAAGAAGAGACTTGGCTTCTCCCTGACACACCAAGAAATAAGAAGGAAAGAAGACAAGGCACAAGTAGACTTGTAAGATTCTATAGCCTACCCTTATAAAGTATAAGTTTATATATTTTTACATTTTATAGCCTATTCCTATAAAATACACGTCTAGTCTTCTTGTGGTGTTGATTTCCTGATTTGGGCTGCCTCATAGAGCTGACAGAATCAAACTGATCAGGCAAGAAATTCAATGCAATCTCGTCTGTGAATATCTCATTCATATAGTGGAAGAGTCTAATGGCGCCATTAGGGCTCTAATTCTCCCACTGCAGGACTCTCCTTTTCACATCTGGCTGCTGAACTCTATGTTTGCATGTCCATTTCTGCTTCAGCGGCAGTGAGACTAGAGCTTTTCTGGCAATCCCAAAAAATATTATTTCCTTCTATTTTTTTTTTAGCCCAGGTGGGATCTGCAAAATTCTAGAACTGTGTGATTAAACATGTGTGAACTTCAACTCCCCAGATTGCTGGCCGGGGAATTCTGGCAGTTGAAGTCCATTCATCTTGAAGCCACCAAGGCTGAAACACTATTCTAAAAGATATTACATCAGGTGGCTATTTCTATGCAGGTGATTCCTACCTGCCTTGCACTCCACTTCAACCTAGCTACCTCTTCCCCCTGCTAAACACTGAACTTTCAGCTTCTCTGGTTTGTTTCCTTTGATGCACCTTCCTTTACCTCTATGCTGTACCCCTATAGCAGCAGCAGAAACTGATGCTTCCGTTCTCAGGTACATGTGTAAGTGTGAGAGTGCGAGTGCGAGTGCATGCATTAATCCAGAGAGGAATAATACATCACCTTCCCAGAAAGTCCTTATTACTATTTTGTAAAACAATAATAAGAAAAAAGGGAAGTGTGGTCTGTTTTTAAGTGTGAAAAAGGAGTATTTTTTTTAAGGAATAACATAATGAATTGGACACAAGTAAGAAAGACAAAACAAATGGAGAAAATGGAAGAGATGTAAAACCAAGGAGCTGACACATATAAACATATAAATATTAGGAACTATTGAGGCTAATTTTTCTCCTCCCAAACTCTTAACCTTTTTCTCCTCTATTAAACTCTACTCAAGCGTGGCTCTTTCCCACACATCTCCTGTGCTGCACCTGTTATTACCTCAACAGCAATAACACACAAGCACACATATGCATGGACAGAGTCTTCATGTGAGAGCAACGATTTATTAACTTTGTTTTGGAAAAATAATAAGATGAACACTGTGGGAGCAGCAGGAGCATTCAGATATCAGGGATGGTACAGTTTTGAAGGATGAAGAAAGGCCCACGGTGCAGCAGAATTACACTGGAAAAAGCATGTGACAATTCAGCCCTAAGACAGCAAATTCAGTTTATGGGAAATGTACAGTAATCAAATGTCCTCATAGACTATCTTAGATATGTTTACACAGTCAGATCCTGTAGAAGTCATAAAGAATGGCTTTAAAGTACAAGAAGGAGAATAGAATAGAATAGAATAGAATAGAATAGAATAGAATAGGACCTTGGAAGTCTTCTAGTCCAGCCCCCTGCTCAAGCAGGAGAACCTATATCATCGTAGACAAGTGACTGTCCAGCCTCTTCTTTAAAAACTCTAGTGATGGAGCCCCCACGATTTCTGGAGGAAAGCTGTTCTACTGGTTAATTGTCCTCACTGTCAGGAAATTTCTCCTTAATTCCAGGTTGCTTCTCTCTTTGATCAGTTTCCAACCATTGTTTCTTGTCCTTTCCTCTGGTGCTTTGATGAATAACATGACTGTTATGTCCTGAGCCTGTGAAAGCAGGCTCGGGGCATTGCAACGGTCCCGGGCAGGTGCAAGCTGCCCAGGACCAGACTGGCTGTCGCCAGCACTCGCGCACCAAATGTAACAGTTTGGCCCGGGAATCGCCTATAAAAGGGGCAGGGAGATTTGGGCGTAGTCGGCGTCTTGTAACCAGTATGCTGAACAGAAATAAAGAGGTTCCTGAGAACTACAACTGCTTCTCGTGTCATTGCCATTTCGCGAAGGACTTAACACTGGCGACAAAGGTGGGATTGCCTTACATCGACTGAAGACAGGTGTAAGCTTACCCTAGAGTCCTGAGCAGTAGGAACGGCGTTAACTCAGCAGCTGCCCGCCAATCCAGCGAACATCGGGGGTAAGCTGGCTGATAGACCCTTCCTTTTCTACAAAAATGGCAAAGGTTGGAAGACTTTCAGAATTCAACATCTCGCATCTGGAAAGATGGGAGTCCTACGTAGCCAGGGTGGAAAACTATCTTAAAGTCAATCAAGTAAGAGAAGATAGTTTAAAAGCCACCACCCTGCTGTGCGTTTGCGGTCAAGATGCATTCGAAATCGCTGAAAACATAGCAGCACCTGTACCTCTAGAATCTGTTAACTACACAGATCTCAAAAAACTACTAAAGGAACACTTCCAGCCCAAATTGTCTGTCATCGCTTGGCACCACACCTTCGAACAGAGGGATCAGTGACCCGGAGAATCAGCCAAAGAATACATTGCTGCGCTGAGAAAAGCCGCTAAACACTGCGAGTTCAAGGACCTAGAAGAACGGCTGAGAGACAGATTTGTATGTGGACTGAGGCATAGAGAATTGCAGCAGAGACTTTTCGCTAAAGAAGACCTATCATTCCAAGATGCCTTGAGAGAGGTTACTGCAGAAGAGGCAGCGGGCGGCACCATCAAGAACATGAGGCCGATCAGAAGCACTCCAGAAGCTGTGTCCGTGCACCAGGAAGAAGTCCAAAGGAACCCAGAGGAGGATCCTGACGATGAAGTAGACCGTCTCTACCCCACAAAAGAAGGGAAACAGAAGGAAAGCTCTTCAGCTCTCCCCAAGTGCCTCGGTTGTGGAGGTCGCCACAAGAGGACTGACTGTA